CATGCTGGTCTTCCCCATGGAGCAGGAAGACCCTGAGTCCCTCTTCCAAGCTAGGTCTCTGCAGCCAGAGACAGAGACACTTAGCTGTGCAGCTATCACCCATTGCAAGTCTGACACTAAAAAGCATTTGGGCAATCTCACTGGGATTCTCACGCCCATCTGGGAAGGGCAAAGAAGCTAAGAAACCGAGCTGGCTTTATGACCTCGTTAACATCGCACGGTTCCCACTTCTGGAACAGCCTGGCTTTGCCCCTGCCCTGCATGACTGTGGAGAATACTCACAGGCTTCACAGGAATCTCACCCACGAGGAAGAAAATCTCGCTTTGTATGAGGCCAGCTTTTTTTTTTTTTTTTTTGCTTTTTTTTTGGATTGTGTTTCAACTGCTTAAAAGCAGGCAGGTGGTAATTATTATTCTTTCTGGAATGTTAGCCATACAGCATGTTTTTTAAATGCCTGGGGGAAAGTAAGGGAAAGGCTTTGACAATATGAGACAGGACAGATGTGACCAAAAACTGGAATAAGAATGGTATACAAAATACCAAAAAAGGAGACTTCTCCTCCAATCAGCTCAGCAGCTTCTAGAAAATCAGGCCTGATGGGTGCTTTCAGGTTCAAAGAAGGTGTTCTCTGTCTTTATCTTTGCTGGGAAACAAGACCAATAATCGCAACTCCCTGAAGTGAAAGCTGAAATGAAAGCAATGCACACGGCCTCAGAGCCACCGCGGCCTGGAGTGACTGACTTCACAGATCCTAGCAGCTGACAGCATTGCTGGGTGCGCGGGAGCACTTTACCCACATGCTCAGTCCATCCTGTGAGGCAGATGGACTTGTCTCATCCTTGAAAGATGCGCTCCCTCCTTTCCTTCCCCAGAGAGTTGATAAGAGGCTTTGGTTCCTTTCAATGTCACCATACACAAACAAATTAGGGGAGAGGGTCTTTTATTATCTTTATTTATATTTTATTTATTTACATTTATTTATATTTTATTATTACTGCTTTTTCCCCCAGATAGGCTGAACTTGAACTCAAAACTCCCCTGCCTCAGTCCTCCTGAAAGTCGATCATTACACTCATTAAGTTTGGCATTTGAAGGCCTAGATGTGAGTCCCAACTCTGTCCACTAGCGAAGAGCCTGAAACTTACTCAGGCTACACACCTCACATTCCAACGGAGGTCATTCAGGCTGTTCTGCACCAGACACAAGGGAGACAGAATATCCCTAATGCCCCACTTAACACACCACAAGGCTCACCACCTTGATCTGAGGCTGCCAGAACTCAGAAGCTGACAGCAACTTGGACTTGCCATGATGTCTGAAGAACCGCAAGCAGCTATGCCACAGGAAGGTGAGCAACATACTAGTCACCACATCCAGGAGGTGAAAAAAAAAACAAAAACCAAAGACCTGCTTTGGGTTAATTGTGCAGCTGACCACAAAACTGAAAACAAGCCAGTCTGCTCCAGACTCCATGATGTGGGATGGTATCGGCAGCCCTACACCAGCAGCCACCGCCAAAAGTAGCCGAGCACTCTGAGCTTCCCCAGAGCTCTGTACATCACCCTGGGCCTCCACTAGCCACTCCACAAGGTGAGGGGACACCGACTCTCCTTATGGAATTGTTACAAGGCTTAAATAAGCTAACGTAGGCCAAACAAACACACTGGCTATCTTCCACACACAAAATCAGCTGTGAAAGTTCAGGTAGAGAGAGCAGGCTGACCAAAGGTAAAGAAGCTCATTCCTGAGGGCGAAGGACCGAGCACAGCCCCTGCTGCCTGGGCCCAGCATCCTTGCTGTCCTGGGCAGGCTGCTTCGGCAGCTCCTGCTCAGCACCCCTCCAGACACCCAACCATCTTCCCCAAGGGCCTTTCACCGCCGTCTTCCTGCAGTGGGTCTGTGCTTCCTCCTTCTCAGCTTCACTTGTCCTTTTGCTAAAGCAAAGAGCAAAAGGAGTTTCTGGGTAAAGGCTGGTGGCTAGCGAGTAAACTTTTTTTTTGGGGGTCCAGTCGTGGGGCCTGAACTCTGGGCCTGGGCGCTGTCCTTCAGCTCTTCAGCTCAAGGCTAGCGCTCTAGCGCTTGAGTCACAGTGCCACTTCCGGCTTTTTTTTTTCTTTTTGCTTATGTGGTGCTGAGGAATCAAACCCAGGGCCTCATGCATGCAAGGCAAGTGCTCTACCACTGAGCCACCTTCCCAGCCCCAAACTTTTTGAACATTGCTTCTCTATTTTTTTTTTCTGCTCCTAGGGCTTGAACTCTGGGCCTGGACACTGGTCCTGAGTTTTTTGTGCTCAAGGCTAGCACTCTACCACTACAGCCACAGTTCCACTTTTGGCTGTTTTGGTGATTAATTGGAGATAAGAGTCTCATAGACTTTCCTACCCAGGTTGGCCTCAAATTGATATCCTCAGCTTTCAGCCTCCTGAGTAGCTAGGATTAGGCAGGAGCCACCAGCATCTGGCTTGCTTCTCTACCTAATATCATCTTTAGATCTATGCTCCAGGGCTGGGAAGGTGGCTCAGTGGTAGAGTGCTTGCCTTGCATGCATGAGGCCCTGGGTTCGATTCCTCAGCATCACATAAGCAGAAAAGGCCGGAAGTGGTGCTGTGGCTCAAGTGGTAGGACGCTAGCCTTGAGCTGAAGAGCTGAGGGACAGCGCCCAGGTCCAGAGTTCAGGCCCCACGACCAACCAAAAAAAAAAAAAAGAATAGATCTATGCTCCAGCTCATCTGGCTGGGCATATGTCCAGGTAAAGTTGTATTTGAGATCTCATAGCATTGTTCCACCTCTTACACAGCATTTCCAGTACTGCTACTGAGTAGTCCACAGCCTCTCTGATTCTGAACGCTGTGTATTGGAGGTTTTGAAGGTCTTCTGTTATTCCACTGAGCTGCCTTGGAATAGGTCTATTCCCTTACAGCACTGAACACGTGGGACTGCTCGTGCTGCTGGACTGTGGGTGTCAGTTTGTGTCCTTTTATACATAACTTTTATACATAACTTCTTTCTTTTTTTAAAAAAATCTGTTTTCCAAGAGATTTCTCCTACTCTGATGCTTCTTGTTGGAGAGTGTGTGTGTGTGTCCATCATAGGGCTTGAACTCAGGAGCTGGGCACTTGTCCCTGAGCTTTTTTGCTCACAGTTTCACTTCTGGGTTTGGTGGGTTTTTTTGTATTGTTTTGATTTTTGCTGATTAAGTAAAGAGTCTCAGGGATTTTCTTGCCTGGGCTGGCTTCAAACCATGATCCTCAGATCTCAGCCTCCTGAGTAGCTAGGATTACAGGTGTGAGCCACCAGCACCTGGCCCTTCGTGTTTGGCTTTTTTTTTTTTTTTGGTTGGTCATGGGCCCCGAAATCAGCCTGGGCGCTGTCCCTCAGCTCTTCAGTTTAAGCTAGCACTCTACCAGTTGAGCCACAGTGCTACTTCTGCCTTTTTCTGCTTATGTGGTACTGAGGAATCAAACCCAGGGTCTCATGCATGCTAGGCAAGCACTCTACCACTGAGCCACCTTCCCAGACCTCATGTTTGGATTTTAACTTTACATTTCTTTGTATTACCGGTCTCTACCACCCACCATTTTCATTAAGAACCAGTAAATTGTCCTCTCCTGTGCAGACACAAAGTCTCTGTTTTTTTCCAGGAAATGAAATAGAGCTTCTTTGTTTTCTCCTGCTCTTTGCATGCTCTCTTTCCCCCCACTGTTTATCCCGGTTTCTGTCACTCATTTGTACCTCACAAGGAAGCAGTCAGTGGCAGACTGGCCATTCTACGTGTGTGGAAGGGACCTCGCCGAGGGCTGGAGATCACGTCTGACTTCTCCCAGGGCTCTCCACCGTGTTGCCATCTAAAGAGCTTTACCCCAGGATCATGCAATTTCTCCATCCTGCACTCTTTCCTCCCTGGTGGTGAGCCCCACCTCTGCACGTCTACCAGAATCTGGGGGTGACAACTCCACTGTTCAGCACGCAGGCTGCCACCCTGTGTGGACCTGGGATAGAGGGCAATGAACTCAATCAGAGTCCCAGAGATTTCAAACTTGTCTCCAAGTAAAAAACATAACCAGAGTGGCAACTTGTTATTTTTACCATTTCCAATGGAAATATTTACAAGTAAAGAGGGAACAGAGACCAAACACCTTGGTCTTGCTCTTTGCCCCGTGGTAGTTAAGGCAAGGGCTATGTCCTGATCTCTGCCCTTCCAAGGCCAGACTTACAAACCCACCACCACATACACATCTCACTTGCTACGAGCTCACTGAGAAGGGAAATGAGAACAGCATGCTTGCTATAGAGAGCGCAAGACGAGCTCCTGCGGGTCCTCTGAGACCCTCAGGAGCAGCTGGGGAAGACAAACAGGAAGAGGTGCCGGTGATCCCCAGGCCCGTGCTGCTGAGAAGACATGGCCCAGCGGGTCACAAGCAGCCCTCTCACTGTCCGGGACAGAATTCGGTTCCCACAGCGAGGATACACAGAGCCGCTCGCCAGGCCCTGCCACCGGCCTTCCTACCAGCTCTGTTTTCGCTCGCTCAAGAAGCGAGGTAATGCTTTCCATCCTCCCTTCCTAGCCTACACTTGGGAGCGTAAGAAGCCTTTAAATATTCATGGAAATTTCTGTACTTTGATTATAGGTTACCTTGCTGTGTAAGATGGGTCTGAAGCATATTTATTAAACATTACCAGTTTGAATGTCTGCTATAATTACCAGAAACAGAGACTATTCCACATAGGATAGAAACCGTAAGAATTGAAGCCAGAGGCCCGTAGGAAGACGAATATATTTACCCATTCTGCCCAGCAGTTGTGTGCTTTTAAAATGCCAAGTTGAATTTAAGAAGTTGTGTTAAGAGTAAAAATTAGTGTTACGCTTTGTGCGACCTTGATGCAAGGCGTGCCGGGGCTAGGGGACGCGCGCGGTAACTGAGCCCCGTGGAGCCCCCGCTGGCCCGCCACCCACCCTCCGGCTCCCACGCCCGGCTGCACGGGCACCGTGGCCACTAACCAGGTTTTTGAAGAGCGCCGTCAGCTCCTTGGTGAACACGGAGAACTTCAGGAATGCACTCCCTAAATCTGGGTCATCTCTGCACACACAGTTGCCCCCGAACTTCTCCAGAGCCTGGGTATACTGTTCCTCGTTCTCCACGTGTGCTGGAAGAGAAGGGAGGGTTCGTTAGTGTACCCAGCACTCTGCCCCCCCCCCCCGCCGTCCTTCTCTGTTGTGAATCATACCACAGAAAAGTCGATTTACAGGAAGAAAAGTAATACTGATAGCCTAACAAGCCACCGTGTCACTAGGAAGTCTTAAAAAGCAGCAAGGTAGGTTCGGAGGCAAGAGCACAATCCAGGTTGACAGGCCATAGCAGACCAGGTGATACTCCCAGACACCCCCCCCACACACACACACCTCCCAGGCCTCTTCCTCCACCATCAGTGACCACAAAAGGCCCAGCCCACATTCCCCAATCTCCTCTAAAAACTTAGTAAGAGATGATTGGCTCCTTCCCAGCCGAAGCTCAGGTCACACATTCAGAACCAAACACTCTTCACACAGGGACTGAAGAGTCTAGTGTGGATCTTGTAAACACAGGAGAAAATTAACACAGGAGAAAATTAACCCGGGCAGAAAAGTCCGTGAGACTCATCTCCAAAAAGGCTACTCAGAAAAGGCTGGAAGTGGTGCTGTGGCTCAAGTGGTAGAGTGTTAGCCTTGAGTAAAAGCAGCTCAGGATCTGGGCGCCGGTGCCTCACACCTGTAATCCTAGCTACTCAGGAGGCTGAGATCTGAGGATCCTGGTTCAAAGCCAGCCCAGGCAGGAAAGTCCGTGAAACTCTTATCTCCAATAAACCACTAGAAAACCGGAAGTGGCACTGTGGCTCACGCAGTAGAGCGCTCGCCTTGCGCTGAAGAGCGCAGGGACAGCG